TCACCTAATAAAGAACTTACATTAGTATGAGAGCAGTTTCAGCCATATTTCTCTGCCTCAATTTTCTCCATCTGGAGAAAAGGAATACACTATTGTTATTTTTGACAAGGTCTGTATTCAGTTCTTCTGGCCAGTTATTGAGTGTTGTGTTGAATTCCTGACCTCTAGCAACTAGAGTTGCCAAAGTGGAAACTGACAAGACTATAGGAATTATAGGAATTTCTTTGTTCCTATAGAAAGGCAATACGGGCAGTGCAGAAATCCTTCTCCTCTGCATGTATTGAGTCTGCAGAGTCCCGTCCGGCAGAGCTGTTTAGAGTGGTAAGGGAACTGACACAGGTTCCACCTGTGCAGAACCCATTACTTAACCCTACAACGGCCTGCTGTGACATGTTTAACAACTTCTTTGCAGATAAAATCTCTCAGATAAGAGCCGACATAGACACCAGTGTTGTGACAGAATCAATTGACGAGGTGTCCAACAACTCCACTGATGAAATTTTACTGGTTCAGTTTCAATCCATGAATACTGATGACATGGACAAGCTTCTTGATAGAGTGAGGAAAACAACCTGCCCTCTTGATCCTTGCCCTTCATGGCTGACCATCCATCCAGGGGGAGATGCCTTGAGAATGTTTCTTAGAGACATCATTAATACATCCCTTAGAGAAGCTCATGTTCCTTCCTGTTTGAAGGAAGTGGTAATTAGGCCGCTCCTGAAAAGACCTTCCCTGGACCCTCTGGACATGAACAGCTATAGGCCAGTTTCGCTACTACCTTTTCTGAGCAAAATGATCGAGAGGGCAGTTGCTCTTCAAATTCAAGCTGTCTTGGAGGAAACAAATTATCTAGATCCATTTCAAACTGGCTTTAGGACAGGATATGGAGTTGAGACTGCCATGCTCGCCTTAGCTGAAGACCTTCATCTGGGCATTGACAGGGGTAGTGTGACCCTGTTGGTGCTATTGGACCTCTCGGTGGTTTTTGATACAATAAATCATGACATCCTCTTGAATTGCCTGAGAAGGTTAGGAATTGGAGGCACTGCAATGCAATGGTTCCGTTCTTTCCTCTCAGGCAGATTCCAGAGGGGGTGATGCTCGGGGACAGTTGGTCTACAAGGAAAGAGCTTAATTGTGGTGTCTCACAAGGCACCATCCTGTCCCGGATGCTATGAAGCTGCTTGGAGAGATCATCCGGAGACATGGGATGGGGTTTTATCAGTACGCTGATGACACCCAGATATATTTCTCCATGTCTTGGTCTTCAGCTTTGACTTCAGATGGTGTCTCTCCTCTCAATCATTGTCTTAAAGCAGTAATGGAATGGATGAGGAAAAACAGATTGAGACTGAATCCAGACAAAATGGAGGTACTTACAGTAGCAGCCACGAACCCAGTTATTGGGATGCAACCTCCAGTTCTAGATGGGGTCACACTCTCCTCTAAGGACTGTGTTCGCAATCTGAGGATGCTCCTGATTCTATCACTTCAGATGATAAATCAGTAAATGCAACAGTCAGGAGTGCCTGTTATCAGCTTCGGCTGATACACCAGCTGTGCCCTTTTCTAGAAGTTAGGGACCTTGAAACTGTGGTGCACGTGCTGGTAACCTCTTGTCTCGATTTCTGTAATGCACTCTACATGGGGCTACCCTTGTACTTGGTCTGGAAACTTCAACTAGTACAGAATATGGCAGCCAGGCTGGTCTCAGGAACAACAACAAGAGACCACATAACACCAATCTTAAGATCATTTCACTGGCTGCCCATTAGTTTTCAGACCCAGTACAAGGTGTTGGTTATTACCTTTAAAGCTCTAAATGGCTTGGGTCCAACCTATCTTCAAGACTGCTTTTATAATCCACCCTTCACAGTCAGGTCCTCTGGGAGGAATCTGCTGCAGCCTATAAAAACTAGACTGTCTGCAACCTCCCAGAGGACCTTTTCAGCAACCGCTCTCAGATTATGGAATGGCTTGCCAGATGAGATCCAGCATATTACCACCTTAAATAGCTTTAAAAAGGCTGTTAAGATGGAACTCTTCTGGCAGGCCTTTCCTGAATAGATATCCCAGCCACCAAAAGATAGCCGAACCTGCTTATCCCTGATTCTGCTGCAGTTATTGTTTATTTGTGTTATTATTTTAAGTGTGTTTTAAACTGTCAACTGTTTAATAGTATTTGGGGGGGGGTGGGATTGTGGGATATGGAGTGTATATTTTAATGTTGTAAGCCACCCCAGTTGTATTACGCAGAGGGGTGGGATAAAAATATTTTTTTATTATTAGTATTAACTGTCTCTTTAATATTTTATAGCAGAGTAGGGATCTGATCTTCTGACCTGCTTGTTACTTGGTTGTGTGACAAATACCAGCTGAAATTCCCTCTTCCATATAACCCTTAAAGGTACAGACCTTTTCCAGTTTTCAATCTGGCATCCCTAACTCCCAAATAATGAATAGCCATAATTTATTTTGTCACCAGAATGAAGCCAGCATCTTCAAGGGAAAGATACTCTGCAACTGGGGTGCCAAAGCACAGAAGGTCCTCTCTCATGTTCTAAATGTATCACCCCCATTGCTGGGACACAGATGCCAGAGACCCAGCTTTTTTGTGCATGGGGGTGATTGAGTGTACTTTGGAAAAAGCAGGGAGGTGGAACATGAATCTAAATTCAACCTAAGTTGAAAAAGAAAATTATAAGAATTTTATAATTCCTTTATTTCATACCAAAGACACTCCTTCAAGTATTGAAATCTCCAGCTCATCCAGGGGTAGGCAACCTTTCCCCTTTAA